AGCCCATAAAACCTTTACAGTGATATACTGAGGTATTAATAGATTGTGGTGATCCATCACAGCGAGAATAATCATAGTTAATATTAGTACTAAGTTATCTGAAAGTTATGTATTTAGAGGGACGTGCATGAGCTAAGGCGAGGGTGCATGAAGTTAATCCTATTTTAACCTGTTCAGGGTTTCGTGGGTCGCTGGAGACCCGAGCCATTTTTCTTTTATGTCGTAGGACCCTATATACTCGATCACGCTTTCCTAGAACCGATCTAAGCCTTTGAAACAAGCAAGCAAAGTGCTTGTTGAGTCGCTAGCAACACACGATACCTTTAATTGTGGTGTGAAACCTTTTAAAGTGACAAGGTGAGTTTTTGTTTTCCGCGTGCGATTCGAAAAACTTTTTAACAAAAAAATAAAAACCGACTTCAAAAAAAAGCACTAAAAAGTAAAAAATAACTGATTGGTAGTTTTCATTTACTATACATACCTAATCAAATATTTTCGAAGTCGGTGTGCTTTGCTTTGTATGGGCTGGCACCGATTTCGAAATATTTGATTAGGTATGTCTTAGCCAAAGCACACCGACTTCGAAAATTTTTGATTAGGTATGTATAGTAAATGAAAACTACCAATCAGTAATTTTTTACTTTTTAGTGCTTTTTTTTGAAGTCGGTTTTTATTTTTTTGTTAAAAAGTTTTTATTTTTCCCTTTTTAGTGTAGACAGTAGTAGCAAAGTAAGGATTCTAACGTTAGGCTTGTCAAATCAAACAAAATAAGCCCAAACTCAAAGTATCTACTATTAGCCGTTAAAGAGTTCCACCTATCCACCTTCTGGCCTTGCCATCAGATCAGGTCAACAACACCGAACCACTGTACTATCAACGGAAATAGAAATACTTGCAAAGTTTCAAGTTAATATGACAATTAGAAGTAGGTTAAATTCATCATTAGTTGTTTTTCCACCCTTAGGGTTGGTATTTTTTTTTTGAAATTTAAATGGGACCAATCTGGAAGTATACCCTTTTAAACAAAACAAAAATTGTCCAAATCGGTTAATAAATGACGAAGTTCTGAGGTAACAAACATAAAAAAAAAAACATACAGTCGAATTGAGAACCTCCTCCTTTTTGAAGTCGGTTGAAAAAGAAAGGAAAACCATCAATTGTTGTGTGAAATGTAAGTCGCCATTTTCTTGCTGTGAAGACCGTTTGTAGTAACAAGATGATACAATTAATTGCTTACACACATTTTGTAACTTTTCTAAAAAAAATTATAATTTTTCAATATATATATAAAACATGTAAACAGAAAAATATATTGACTTATTTCTTGAATCTTTACTTTCCTCTTTCGAAATATGCACTACTTGACATCACAAACTTTAGCATTCGTTTTGCTTTAATCGAATCCTCAATTTTTTTGGTACAAACACCATTTGAAAACTTTATTTACGCAATTCAGATATTTCGAATATCTCAATTTGTTCAATAGTTGTGAATTTTTCAGTCAATGTCTGCATTTATGGGAAGTGGGTATGTTTATGACGAAAAATAAAATATTCCTTTAAATTTTTTTGCAATCTTCATGGCGTTCCCTTAAAGTAGAAGTATTCAAGAGTATTCAGGAATTTTATTAGGTTTTTTTCATGAAAAATTGCGTGTTTTAACATGGGGTCAACTAGGGTCTTTAGCGATCCATGATCCCTTTAACTGGGACCGAAAAAAGCAATACCCTAAACGGGTTCAAAAAGAAATGGTGAAAATCAGATCTAAGAGTAAGCTTCACAAGTATGTCCATCCGAATTATTAAATATTGGTCTATTTAATAATCTGGTTGTACTCGTCCAAAAATCCAAATAAAAATTTATTATTATGAACAACTTCGGTAAGTACTTTTATTGTTTTTTATCTTTTATTTTTTAAGTAATCACGTAAGTTTAGCACCTGGGACTAAACCTAAACTGTCCAATGTCCATTTTATCATAAAATACGCTATATTTACTTTAACCACACTGATTTCTTTGTAATAATTAATGATTACCTACTAGGTAGTAATAATATTTTAAAAAAGTCTTTTAAATAACTGTCAGTTATTACACAAATATATAGGTAAAGTTTGTATGTAGGGAGTAATATCAGAAACTAGCGATCCGATTGTGAAAATTGTTTCCTTAATAATATGTAATTAATTATTATAATAGCTATATTATATAGCTATCGATTGCTAAAGTCCGATTTTTTTTTATTTAAATCGAAGCGAAGGTAAGTCGCTAGCTAGTGTTTTATATAATTAAATTTGCAAATTTAAATTATTGTAAATATTAACATAACAAGCAAATAAGTAAATACAAATTATACCACAGATAATTATAATTGACTAGCGGCTCACCCTTGCTGCGCTCGGGTTCGCCTCTAGGAAAACAAGAGCAAACCTATACCACGGGAACCGTACATTTTTCCGGGATGAAAAGGTTATATTAATTTACATTTTATTTAAATCAAATAAGGGAATAAAAAAACTATCCAATAGCTGATAAGAAGATAATATTTTTAAGTCATGAAACGCATTTATTATCTTATGAATATATAAAACACTGGAATATTTTGGTGTATTATGCAAAATATTTGTCTATACATATATATAAAATTCAAAGTCGTGGCTGACTGATATATTAACGCACAGCCTAAACCGCTGGTCATGGGCGCATGAAATTTGGAAGGTGTGTTGTTCTTTGTGAAATGTAGGTATCCACTAAGGATTTTTTGAAATTCCACCCCTAAGTGGGTGAAATTTTGGGTTGGATTTCCAATTTTTATTTAACGAATCTTACGAGTCTGATGACCGGTTCGGAATAAAAGTCTCGATCCTGACCCTGAGAAGAACTGGTGAAAGAAATTCAGCTATATTTACTTTATTTATATTTATCATTTATATATTTCCCTTTCCCTAGGATATGGACTTAATTATTAAATTATTTATTATATTTTTGATCAAAATATATGAGCTTAACAAGAAAATTTTAAAAGTACATCATAAGGGAAATAAACATAGAAAATTGAAAAAATGCGAGTCTAACTTGCGTACAGAGGGTGCCGCGTTGCTTCAAGCATTAAATTAATATTGTTTGAACATAGATTATTTGTTAGGTTAAAAGTGACATTCGAGATTCACGTATCTATAACATGGATTTTTTTGATAATATTACTAGGTTTGTATTTCATAGTATTATTATCGATCATTTGGTTTCAATAAATAAATATATACCCACTTCTTTCAATCATTTAAAACTTTTAAGCGTATCTAATAATAAAAAATGATTTTGTTGTACACAATCTGTATACATATACATTTCTTACTTGTAAATAAATTATTAATTAAGTTACAGGATTCATTATGTAAAAATGCTCTCTAATAGCTATGAAGTAGCTTTTTTGTGGAAGACTGCTAGTGACTATGTTGGAAATATAAAAAACGTTGGCATTTTTATAATGAATTTATAAGGAATTGAACGAATTTACTTTTATAAAGGTAAAACCGTTATAAAAATAAATTCTTTGGCAGACTTTAATACATATTTCAAGCATAGTACAAGGTCAAGGTACCACAAGCTAAAATAAGGTCATATCCATGAATGTTGAAAATACTTTGATTACTATCTATTGCTAAAATGTCATTGTACCTTAGTAAAAAGTAATACACTACTTATAATAAATTTCACCGCAAACACACGACATATGAACATCCACTCATGATTATAAAATATAAGTTAAATAAAAAAGCCTTTAGTAAGACATGTTGTTAAATGTGTTAAACAGGTAGGAACACAGAAATCGGTAACATAGCGTTAATAACAAGGTGCATACATATATTCATAGATTGGATCCGCCGCCAGCCCACAGTGAATCACATATTCATCTTCACAATGCCGCAGAATAAATTTGATTACACTGCACTCTTTAAAGCACGTATCTACAACGCACTAACACACCGTTGTCACTTCACTAAAACACTTTATCGGGTTTTTCCCCACTGCAATCCAAATAAGTCACTGCAATCCGTAAGATGCTAGCACGATACACTGTCAAGGCGGCGGCGGCGGCATCCATATTTTGTGCTTTGACTAATGACGAAGACATGCTTACATAATAATATTATTTTACTTTAGAACCACAAAATTGCAAGCTCAAGCAAATTCTGAGATAATTCCTATATTATTACATTGTAAGGTTTAGCCACTTTGGTTGACATAAACGGCACGGGTAACATCGAGCGACAAATACCGTCAAAAGGATCGTCGCAGCAGAAGAATGTAAACCATATACTGATATCATTATTATTCACTTGATAAAAATACATATACGCAATAAATTATAAATAATATACTTAATCTAAAACTTCAAGAATTTTAAAACAACTACAACCGAATAAATTCTTAAATAAAAAAAATACACTACTACGAAATATGTAGATAAGTATATATCTTTCGTATTACCTAAACACGGTCAAATAGTTATATATTGTTTTAAATTTTCTAATATTTAAAATGTTACCTTTTTATGCTGAAAAAAAGTCACTTGGAAGTTAACCAATGTTTTTTAAACCTTACAGTTAAAATTTATAAAAAAATTTGCAAATCAAGCTGCTTCATAACAATAAATTTGTGGTATAAAACCTACTAAACTAAATACTTAAAATTAATAAAATATGTGTGACTTCTTTTGCTATTATTATATTATTCAGTACTTTACGTATTAAAGACAAGAAAATGCTGCTACTTTGAAAAATATTTAATCATTTATCCTGACAGTTAAGTTTGAAGGAAGGTTGCACTTTCTTCACATCTTGACATCTTAAGTTTTTTCACTTTTCGTAAAATTAAAACATATCTAGTTGTTTTATTTTATAACTTGGACACCTCCAATTAGTTAGTAGTTAAACAACATTATACGCATTTAAGTAATAATGATATCAACAATATGGTTTATAGCTAAATAATTTGTACTTACGAGAGGTGATAACGCGAAGTGGAGATGGGAGCAGGTGCGGAATTCACGGAGGATGAAGAACCTGAGTAACCGGAGCCGGCAGGTGAAGATCCAGCAGAAGGCGCACCCGCGGACGATGGTATCGCGGTCGGCTCGTAATACTCAGTGGTAAGTGTTCTTTCGTCCAGCACGTGCTCCACGTTGTGTGCCTTCGATGCAGACTTGATGTCCATAAATGCAACCGTGGCACAAACACCGCTATTAGCACCTCCATTCGTACTTGCACTTGCGCTCTCCATTCGTCCCAATAACTTGACATTCTGGACTCGGCCATAGCTGAAAGAGATTAAACCATTATAGAACCACGCTAATCGCTCGTAATAATGAAGTCATATTATGACATTGTCCATTAAAACTGAACAAATATATTGTCTGCTGTTATGACCCTACAAGTCATTTCTAGCGACTCACAATTACTAGTTACGTTTTAACGTTTTAGTACATATAGATTTCTCAGAGATAAGATATTTTCTTGCAGTAAATTAACCCGGATAGTCAGCTATCGTCATTCATACCAAATTTCATCATGATCTGTCCACTGGTTTTCTTTTGATGCGGCAGACAGACAAAAATTCTGAAAACTATAGATTCGGCCTCTGTAGGTATCTATAATAATAAATGACGATTGAAATAAGACTTTCCAATAAAAACTTTTTAACAAAAAAATAAAAACCGACTTCAAACAAAAGCACTAAAAAGTATAAAATAACTGATTGGTAGTTTTCATTTACTATACATACCTAATCAAATATTTTCGAAGTCGGTGTGCTTTGGCTAAGTAATTAAAGCCTACCTATTAGATACATACCTAATCAAATATTTTCGAAATCGTTGCCAGCCCATACAAAGCAAAGCACACAGACTTCGAAAATATTTGATTAGGTGTGTATAGTGAATGAAAACCACCAATCAGTTATTTTTTACTTTTTAGTGCTTTTGTTTGAAGTCGGTTTTTATTTTTTTGTTAAAAAGTTTTATTTTTCCCTTCTTAGTGTAGACAGTAGTAGCAAAGTAAGAATTCTAAAGTGTTAGGCTTGTCAAACCAAACAAAATAAGCCTAAACTCAAAGTATCTACTATTAGTCGTTGAAGAGATTCACCTGTCCACCTTCTGGCCTTACCATCAGATCAGGTCAACAATACCGAACCACTGTACTATCAACGGAAATAGAAACACTTGCAAAGTTTCAAGTCAATATGACAATTAGAAGTAGGTTAAATTCATTATTAGCTATTTTTCCACCCTTAGGGGTGGTATTTTTTTTTATTTAAATGGGACCAATCTGGAAGTATAACCTTTCAAACAAAACAAAAAATGCCCAAATCGGTTAATAAATGACGAAGTTCTGAGGTAACAAACATAAAACAAAAAAATTAAAATAAAAAAAATACAGTCGAATTGAGAACCTCCTCCTTTTTGAAGTCGGTTGAAAAAATAAATAATAAACAGATTCGACTCAGAATTTTATGATACGTATAGATTTCATATTAATTATTATTAAACATAAAAATTTTGACATTTAGACAAAACATAACTTCGGTGAAGTAGGTACATTACTCTCAAAAACATTGATTTTTACAAATATTGTCATTTTCGACAACTATTCATTATAAAAAATATTAGTATTTTTAGTTCAAATATGTGAGGGTTTTTCCTAGTCTTTCCAGTCTTGTCTGGATCACAACACTAAGCGGTAATATCCAAATATGTGAAAGGCATATACAGTTTGCTATTTATTATAGCATTCACTGGAAATGTGATAAACATAAAAATAAATAAATAATATGTTGGGATATTAACACACAACACCATCTAGTTCCATGGTAAGCTACGACGCTTGTGTTACGGATACGAGATAGAACTTTAAATAACTACATTTTATAAATATAAATACCCATGACTGGAGTACAGACATTCGTGCTCATCACACAAATGAATACCCGCCCGGGGGACTCGAACCCGCGACTGCTGGCACTGTAAGTAGGGTCACTACAGACTGAGCCAAACATGTCGTCAACATTATACAATACCTGAGGATGTTAGTCTTTTATCATCAAGACAAACATTTTCCTTACATACAATCGTCTGTAGGACAGGTAGATTTTTTCGCGAACTTATTTTTGGTTCCCGGCGTTTCGAATGCTTTACTGGAACCATGGTCACGGGAGAGACTAAGGTGTTAGATGTCTCAAAGGTTTTATATAGTTGTTACAGACAGCCTACCCATAAATAACAAAATGAATTCAAAAAATTCAAAAAAAAAATAAAAATGGGAATAAAGTAAGTACCTTACAATATTTTTGAACTTAAAATATTTTTATAATTTTAATTAGTTTTATAATTGAATATGGAATATTATTTATTTAATTTTAGCTATTATTGTTATAATTATTACAATTTAAAAAAATATTTATTAGTAATTTATATTTAGTGTTGCCATTATTATATTTAGGACCATAAAGAAAAAAACCACATAATTGTTCTATGTGTAATGTAAAAAGTGAAAGTTAATTAAGAATAATAATTTTAATTTAGTTTGCTATTATTTAAAAAACACACATTATTTAGCAACACTATTACTACATACAAATGAAATATATTAATTTTAAATGGTGTCGATTTGATCCACACAGTAAGAACTTACTACATACATAATCCGAAAACATAGACATACAAATAAATTTAAAATGTCAAATATTCGCGTAAACCTAAGAAATTATTCCAAATTTTTTTTTAAATAAAGATGAATAAGAATTACGAGGTGACAAATTATAAAACGGAAATTGCTGAGTTATAAAAGTTATAACATGGAAATCTTTCAATGACCTTCTAAAAGATATTGTTTGCCTGATCAAAAACTCAATTCAATAGATAAGAACATTCAAGACGTAAAGAAGGTGTCGGTTTATTATACACATTCTTTGACATTTTAAATGAAGCTATCTTTTCGGTTTTTGTCGTAGTTTTATTTTATATTTTTGTTCCAACGTTTCGAATAATTCTCATGCAACTTGCATGCAAATACTGCATGCATGGTTACGACAGAGACTAAGGTTAAAAACTTACACCATGGCAAAATGTCCGGAACAAAATATAAAAAAAAAGAAATAAATCTGCAAAAAAATTCAAAAAACAGTTTCATTTTAAATTTCGTATGTTCAATAATGGTTTTTTACATTAAATCTTTATCTTTGCAATAACGACGTAACTATTATTACAATAATTGATAAAGTAAAATGAGATAAAAATTAGTTAGTGAAATGAGATAAAAATTAGTAGTAGTTTATTTAATATTACCAGAATGATTTTACCAAAAACACACATATCTGAAGAAAATATATGTATCCTACTAGGTAAATACATAATTAGCTAAGTCATCGAATTTTGTATCATAATATTCAAAGCTTTTGCAAAGGATTAACGAATAATAATATTCTTCTAACATATAATAAAATTCAGAGTCGAATCTGTACATTTAATATTTTTTTGGAAAATATTATATTAAAATAGTCATTATTATGGATACAGAAACCCAATCTATAGTTTTTAGAATTTTTGTTTGTCTGTCTGCCTTTGAGCGCATCGCCAGAAAACCACTGGACAGATTTTGATGAAATCTGGTATGATGATAGCTGGTTATCTGGGTCAACATATATGTTACTTTTTACGGCGGGAAAATATCTAATTTCTGAGACCGTTATTATAAGACAGTGTGCTCTCAAAGTACCTATTATGTGCAAACAGTATTTAATACGTATATGTATACGTATCTACACGACTATGTTCTGTATTGCAACCTAAATTGACAATTCAATAAAGATGGTTATACGCTATCAACAATCTATATATGTCCTTTTAATTTTTATATGTATTATTAACCAAGTTTAACATAAAACACAATAAAGAAAATTATACAGCACGGAGACGCCATAATTGATATGAACACGTCTAACCGGGCGCCCTCGCTCAGCGCGACCGCGCCGCAGCGAGCAGCGCGCGTCGTCATGACGCGGCGAAACTACAAAAAATGCGCTGTTGCCACACCGAACGCGGTATCGAACAACAAGCGCTGTTGCCAGTTCGTCAGACTTGCTTTACTACATATTTCATTATATTTCTTCTTTATAGCTCGTCATTCGTCGTTTGTCTCTAAACGAAGTTTTTTTTATCTTTGTTGTGGCAATATAAATATAGAGCGTGAATCAGTGGCAAGATACTAATATGGCATGTAATTAACATTAAATCCAAATTAAACAATGACTATATATGTATAAATTAACTTTCTATTTAAAATAAATTATAACACCACACAGATCTTTAATATATTATTATTGATTGTGACGACATTTATAAATAAGTATAATTTTAGACATTTTATAGTATTTACTATTTACCAAGCATTTAATATGAAGTTACTACATAATACTACAAATAATAACGAACAAAATCTTATATATAAATTATAAACCGTAATTTTGTATTGCTTAAAATAAAAAATCCATTTACATTTTTGAAATTAGGTGTTCAAGTAAGTAGGTAACTACTCTAAATTTTATGTTGTATAACATTATTTTTCATAAATAATACCTACGTAAAATGGATAGATAACGAGAAACTTAACAGAGGCAGAGTGATTAAATCGGTCGATGTCTAGTGCGACGTTGCCAAGTTTACTCTTACAACATGGCCGCGCCCGCTGTGCCCGTTTCCGTGTGAAACCAACACGCTGCGTCTGTGTATAAGGCATAGGCACTGGTAGTGGTGCGACGATGATAGCGCGAAGCGAACCGAACAGCAGGATGCGAGGGTGTGGGGGTGGGGGGAAGGGCAGATACCGGCTCAATGACGTCAGTCTACTTTCTGAATAACTACTTACTTTGTTATGCTGACTACATACAGACTAGTGAGTACGCGTTATCTTGTATGTTTATAAGTTTTAATAAGTAATTTATTACTTTACTTATTATTTAATAATATTCAATGCATTAGAAAATGTATCAATTTAAGCTTATAATTATAGCATGTAAATAGGGTTTTTACTTTCATTTAAGGGAAATGTTTAAGTATGTAAGTAAAATCTGTTTATTAAAAATGCAATTAAATTAACAAACTAAAATAAGTATGTTGACAATTGAAATATTGTTTAATGTAGATACGGTTTTTTACCATGATCTATATATTTACAGCAATGAATCATTGGTGCAAAGTCGATGCCGTTCATTCGATCATGTTAAGAGTTAAACGGACAAGATACAGTTACGTCGATCGACAAATGT